CAATTTGTGTAAGTACTGTGTGAACTGTGTTGTGTATAAAAGAACTGTCAAGAGTAAACTGGCCTTATAATTTCGAACCCTATCTCTCCACTAACACAATGTAAAGTATGGAAAGAAAAAAATATAGCAATTAATATGTTATTTTATTTTAACATGTTTTTGGTTACGTAAAGTTACTTTATTTTAATAGATATGCAAATGAATAACACAAACTAGACACGAGTGTTGACGACAACATATGAATATGAATCCGAAACTTTGGGTTATTTTTTTTACAAACAGCGTTTAATGCTGTTGACCCTTTAAATATGGTTGACCAATTCAACAATATAGTTTTAAAATTTTCTGAAAGAGTGAAATATTAATTGTTCTGCTTTTATTGTTTACATGTTTTTCATGAAATTTTGTGGTCGAACTAAAGAATATAAAATTAACTACAAAGTGGTTTTAGCGGATCACTCGCGGTACCCTAAAAGAGTCGATTACTAATCGGAAATACGCTTATAATGCGAATAATCTTTCCGTAACCAAGGGGAAACGCAAGCAGCGTGTTACACCGATATAGCCGCTCGCAATTACACGCACGCCTGTTGTGTTGTGTCGTACCGATAATTGTGTTACGTAACCGTTAAAAACGAACTGTTAATCTGTGCTATTTGTAGCTGACCAATTTTCTTTCGTTCGTAGTTTTACTGCCAATTTTAATGCATATAAAAAAATCTATAAAAAATATCCTGACACAGTGTTAGTTATCAAACTCTACCAAGAAGAGACAGCTTCATCGATTTTTATAAACATTTTTGTGTACATTTTACTACTGGTCTGAGAATAGGTCGTAGACAATTTGAAAAAAAAATGCACTACTAGGTATTAAGGTTGGTGTGAGCTTTTTTTTCCTACGTCCATTCCAACAGGGGTTGGTATTAGTTTATAAAAAAAGTTTATTAAACTCAGCTGGGTGAGGGCGTTTCAATTTTGTATTTCGAATATAGTAAAATTAAATAAATACATGAGAATAAAAGCATTTTATAATTAATAATGCACTAAATACAAACATAAATATATATATATTTGTATCGAATACTTTTATATTTTTAAAATTCTTTAAATAAAAAATTATTCGACACTTATATATATGTTTTATATATTATATAAAAAACCCGATTGCTTAAATATTACTTCTAATTCAAACTGAAAAGAAATAAAAAGTGCAGTAGTTTACAATTCTGTTAAGTAAGGAACAAAACTACTTTAGCAGTCGGGACCCATTAGATATTCAAGAATGGATCAATTTTTTTCAATAATGGGTATTTGTAAGTACTTCGTATATTACGATTAGCTACTGCAAGTAGCTCATTTTATTCTTTTCCTCCTAGGTTTGTCACCAAAATTCATAAACATTTCTTCTCCCACCATTCCTGCAGTCTACTCCTGCATATACTTTGTCATCGTTGTAACTTTTTAAATATTTACGATATTACATATTGTAGAAGGCAGAGTTTATCGTCTTTAATTATCAAAAGCTATAAAAGATTTTGTTTTGATAAGTATCGAATAATATTTTCATTTTTGATTCACTATTTTAGCGATAATGGCATACACAATAAAAATAGATATATGCTGCCTTCTTTTGGAGACTCTTTTGTAGAACTATTTTTACAGATATATTTCCACTATGAATTGTATTCATGTAACTTTTATTGATTTTGCAATGCAGGCCAAAATAGCTGCAGATGGGAGAGTTTTTTCCGTATTACGTGACACTTATATTTATATTTTGGCCAATTCACTCAATACCTACATATATTATTATCTTTATATTTTCATTATGTATGAGCTATATTATTGTTAAGTTTCATTAAAATTCATTCAGTGTTGTTTGGGTGAAAGAGTAACAAAAATACCATACAAACGTAAGACTGAAATTAAAAGCGCAAATGGTTAACATACAAATTTAAATCGTTGTAGATCCTAAACAGTCATATAAATTAAAAATGGTGTAAGGAACCTAAACATGATTTTCGATTATCTAGACAATGATACCCCACTCGACACATTCCGTCAACTTATTTTTCTTTCTTTCTCACAATATGGCGCCTAATTGTCCCCATATTGAATTTCAATTACTATCATATCTTTAGTAGCAATCCCATGGCTAAGACGAATTGATTGACCTATGAATCATCAAAATCGGTCCACGAGTTTGGTCTCCAGTGTGCCACAAAGGAACATACATACATATATAGACTGTTAAACACTAAACCCTGTCTGCGCGTCGCGGTACGCGCTCTCGCATTGCGCAGTCGGGTAAAAAGGAACATACATACATAACCTTTTTAACACTATACCCTGTCTGCGCGTCGGCTTTCTCGCTCTCCCATTGCGCAGTCGAGGAAAAAGACATCAACGTCGTCGTAAATGTGTGATATTTTACAAGGATGCCAATTAATATGTTACGAAGATGTTAATTTATATGTTAATAAATAAATATTTCCAACGCTCACACCAATTAGCCTAGCCGCAAAGTAAGCATTGAAGGCTTGTGTTATGGGATACTAGGGTAACGGATAGAATACATATATTGTACATATATAGTATATATATATATAGTAATACATTTTGAACATCCCATGACTGGAGTACAAATGCTCGCACTCATTACACAAACATTTGCCCCCACCGGGATTCGAACCCGGGACCTCTCGAGTTGGCGACACCATGTATAAACCACTCGGCCAGGGAGGTCGTCAAATTTTATATTTTAGTGCATATATATATCGTTTGATATATACACTAGCGGACCCGACAGACGTTGTCCTGTCTACACGTCTTTGTGAATCTAAACCATTCTCAGATCCCCTTGAACACACACAAAAAATTTCATCAAAATCGGTCCAGTCGTTTAAGAGAAGTTCAGTGACATACACACTCACAGAAGAATTATATATATAAAGATATATCATGTTTTATTTACTTTTCAAACAGTTTACTTTCGAGAATATGGAGTAGCGAACTACTTTTTCATTCGGATGAATACTCCGCAACGAGGTACCTACTTGTATTAACTACTTACTAATTTATTACTTGTATCTCGGTAGCTATACGTATGATTGCATATTACATCGACATCAATAGACGTACTGATAAATAGTTATAATAATTTCATTGTTATGTTGCTCTACATTTGACCGTATAAGACTGTTTGTTATGATTTTAAATGCGTGAAAGTTTCATGTTTCATAACAGTTAAAAGCAAAATTTTAGACTTATTAGTAAGTGGTCATCAATATTAAACATCGGCTTAAGGGATACGCATCCTATTAATATCAATATGGTGTTCCTATGGGATTCTCAAAAAACTTACTATAACGCGGAGGGAGTCGCGGACAGAAGGTAGTTAGTTTATTTTGAACAAAAACATCACACTGATATTATAAAGACGAAAGTTTGTGAGTGTGTATGTTTGTTCACGTCTAAAAGGCTGAAGCGATTTTAATAAAATTTGGTATGGAGTTAGCTGACACCCTGGATTAACACATAGGCTAACTTTTACTGCGGGAAAATATGCCTAATAATCAGCGGGTAACACCGCGGGGCACAGCTAGTTCCATATATTTTTGATTGCCTTTTGAGGTGATGTAGTAGTGTAATAGACATTACTCAGAACTCTACCACAGACTACATTGAAGACTGAAAAAGTAATTGCCGTTCTAAAGTCGCAGATCTGTGGCTTAATGCAAACGATGTTATTAGATGTTGCCAATTTTCACGATTCGATTTTTAACCATAAGTGTTTTTGGTAAAGGTTAAAACTCATTTGACAGATCTGGGGGCCATTCGCCTAGCGGAAATTCTTTGGAAAACGCTAACGTTTACGATTTCATTTTGTTATTTCTAGCCGCCTCAGGTTTTCAAATGCCTCGCGCTCTTTTTTTCCTATTGCATTGGTAATAGCAACATTAAAAAAAATGAGCGTGATGTATTTGAAAACCTTCGGCGGTCAGAAATAAGAAAATGAAATCGAAAACGTTAACGTTTTCCAAAGCATTTCCGTTAGGCGAATGGCCCCCTGATGATGCACAAAAGTTAATATATGAGTATAACAAAAAAGATTCTAGTATCCTTCGTTGGGTGTTTAGGCATTTAATGCATCTTTTGCTTAAAATAACGTTCGTATTTATAAGGTTAATCGCATTTGAATACTTGTATTATTTAAAAAAAAACTAGGTACTTATAATGTCATTAAGTTAAACATGATTTACTGTTATCCCATAGCATAATGTAACGCCTTGTGTAAATAACTCATATCCGGTATTATCATCATCATCAGCCTATTAATGTCTCCACTGCTGGGGCACAGGCCTTCCCTATGGATGGAATAGGGAGATCGGACCATGACCCACCACGCGGGCCCGGTGCGGATTTGCATAATCGGTATATCTGGTATGCATTGACTTAATTTTGATTTTTTGTGTATTCTACCTATTAAGTAGGTTTTGGAGGAGCTCGAAGTGGTTAGCGCGTTCGGCTGCGATCGAACTTAAGCAACTTTCCTAGTGGTCGGTCATTGGATGGGTGACCAAAAAAATGCTATCTGGAGCTCCTCGTGCTTCGGAAGGCACGTTAAGCCGTTGGTCCCGGCTGCATCTGCAGTCGCTAGCACCCACCAATCCGCACTGGGATAGGGAAGGACTGTGCCCCAGCAGTGGGGACATTAATAGGCTGATGATGAAGTAGGTTTTAGTACAAATATAAGAGGGGTAAAAAGTTAGGCAAGTTACTTAGAAATACCTTTACTTATTTCATTCCAATTGTTAGTTTGTTAGTTTAAATGTATTGACGAGTAGATATAGGTTAGTTATCTTCAATATCAGTTTTGGATTCTTCTTTGTATTTGACTTTGTTAATTGAGTACAAGCGATCGATGCTTCGTTTTAGTGAGCAGCTATTCACTTGTAGCTCTTCAATGAGTTACACAACTTGAGCCAGTTTTTTTATCGTCTGTAATGTTGCTTGTTCTTACGCGGTATAAAAGCATCGTTGCTCCTGGTAGGGGCACACAAGTGTACAATATACAAACATATCAACATGGCACTTAAAGTGAGTTAGTTTATTAAATTTAAAAACACTTCTTGATTAATTTGAAATATTTTGTCAATACTCAGTTCTTAGTATAAAAATAAGGATTCATATATGGGATTGGGACAACGTATGGAAAAAAACTGGGTTATTTTTTTCTAAAAACAACTGTGAATTCAAATAAAGGACAATGACCCAATTTCTTTAATATTGTTTCAGGTAGCGACTTTCTTTTGTTTCGTGGCAGCGGCGGCAGCGGGTGCCATTCCCGGGCCGGTCAGCCACTTGGCCTACGCCGAGCCAGAGGTCCCCGCGCAGTACGAGTACTCGTACTCCGTGCAAGATGACCACAGTGGTGACGTCAAGCAGCAGAAGGAGAACCGCAACGGCGACGCCGTCCACGGCTTCTACTCGCTTGTGCAACCTGACGGTACTCAGCGCATCGTTGAGTACACAGCTGATAAGGTGCACGGTTTCAACGCCGTCGTGCGCTACGAGGGACAGCCCCATCCCGCGCCAGCTAAGATTGCCTACGCCCCACCCCAAGCTCAAGTGGCGTACGCTCCAGCTCCCGTCGCTAAAGTCACCTATGCCCCGGCTCAACCTCAAGTGACATATGCCCCGGCCCAACCTCAAGTGGCGTATGCCCCAGCCCCAGTCACTAAAATCGCCTACGCTCCTGCTCCAGTCGCCAAAGTAAATTACGCAGCTCCCATAGCGTATGCTAACCCCGCACCAGTAGCTTACGCTCAAGCCCCCATACCAGTACCTGTGGCCTACCCTAACTCAGCACCTGTGGCCTACGCACATGCCCAGCATCCAGCCTATGCCCATGCCCCCAGAGTAGCCTACCCAGCACCTCTCGGCCACGTCACATACTCCTCCCCCGCCTACTCTTACCAACACTAGATCCTAAGTGCCATAAATGTTATTTATTTTGTTAAATAATAATCGTTTAAACAATACAATTTCTGCTTTTTATTTTTCCACTGTGGGGAAGGAATCGGGCAAGGGATATCAAAACGCTCCAAACGAAGTTATAAAGAAGCGTGCGGGTAGTGTCGGGGAATCAATTGAATTATGTAGCATTATGAGGCGAGCGGCTCCGGTTACGCGGCACGTCCGCGCCCCCGCCCCCGGCCCGTTGACGCATTGCTCTTGACACCTATTTATTTGGCTAGTTTAGTAGCGCACTGAGATCGATATGATTAAGCCCTGGAGATGCTCCAGGCTGCCCTTCTATTACCCAGAGGACCAGCCGCCGGGAGGGACGGGGCATACCTAGCTGTTCATTCTACCCACTTCGCAAAAACAGAGCGCTCTCCGACTGACGCTTGCATTAATGATTGCAGGCAAATACAAATTGACAGAATCGAACGGTGAAAGTGCTTGTTACGCCCGACGATGCGGAGGGTTTGCAAACGTGTGATGTGAATATTACATTGCGTTACCCGCTCTTCCTGTTGCGATAACAAGCTGACGTGAAGGGTTGTTCCAAATGTTTTGTTCTCAAAGACGGCGCTAATGTAAAATGACAATGTTTACTTAAAATATATTATATAGGAAGATCAAAGATGAATCCATCATTCCTTTGTGAAAATAAAGAAATGCTTTTTCTCAGTCTGAAAAGCATCAATGGTGGCTGGTAGTGGGGAGAATGTGTGAGTTATACGATTTGTTTTGTTTATTCCTTTGTATTATTTATAGCAATGTTTGTTTTGTTTATTTATTTTATTTATTTATTTGATCACCAACAAAGTTACACATGATATTTCTTATTTAAACTGTACGCGACGACCGAAGCGAAAGAAAATGAACTTACGACAATACGAGAGCAATGTATAAAAATGTATCTATAATTTCACATGAATCGGTTGTATACGCATTAAAGATATCATTCCCTTGTTGTCTTATTAGAATGAGTCGGATATCGCAACAATAGATAGCTCTGCCCATAGTAAACCATTGTAAAATTGATAGTTCAGAGCGATATTCCGCCCCGTTCTCTCCAATAATCTTATAAGACTTTATCTAAACGATCGCCACGACGCCAAGCGGTGGCGCGGGAAAACTAGTCAGAATACTGATAGTTCCGACCTATAGGAGGGACGGAGACAATAGGTTGTCCTTGTCTCACGTCTTATAGGATTTTGCCTGAGTTGACAATTTTCGATAATAGTATGTTTTATGTTTTGATTGATTTATTTTATGTCTTATTAGATAGTAGGTAGTTATAGGAATAATATATCGAAGTTTTGTATGAATCATGTTAGTAGTTTAAGCGTAATTAAGGAAAATATTGGGAATAGTTTTTTATGAATAGTCAATAGGATATAGGTATAATTGTTATAATAATGATGTTATTTTGTGTGTTTTTACTTTTTCTATAGAATGGTGTATGATAGTTAGACATTAAGTGAGTATAAGTAGGTTTTTTAAGACTTTTTAATTTGCAAACTTTATAGGGCCGTAGAGCTGTTGTTTATTAATATTCTTGTAAGAAACTTGTTGTATCAGATAGGTAACACGTAGGGCTACGTAAATAAATAGGTATCACATCAATAAGTGTAAAAATGTACCGTGTAGGTACAAAACATATTTGTATAGAACCGTTTTCTGAGACATGTTGCGCTCCCCACCCGGCGCGCCCGGAGCGCGCGGGTGGGGCAGCGAAGCCCCGTAGCAGGGCGAAGCCCTATGGAGGGGGAAAGTATAAATATTGCGGAGACCTATTTTTTGCGCGCCACACCTAAAATATCGTGTTTACGGACACGTAACTTTGTTAAAAATATGCCTAAATGTATGCCCGATGTATGTACAATTAGTTTTAAGCTCGCACTATTGTAAATTTTGAGAAAATGAAAAATAAAGTATAGCGTGGGTGAGGTAATGGATCGCTGGCCAGCTCGGTCCTAGCATATAAAATTCGAGTCGGAACATGCCCCGACATGCATTCAGCGACAGGCGCTCCTACCCTAAGGAACAGGAAGAAACAACCAAGCGGTTCACTCTGGACCTGAAGCCTCCTCTCACCGGCCATCCATTATCAGCGCCCACCGATTTCTTCAATACCGAACACCAGGGGTTTTATTCGCCGAAACTACAGTCCACTACAGTCAAGACTCCTGCGTGTAACTTCCTCCACCCCCTCAGTACGAGTCGGTAACTGTCCGCTACTGCGACAGCCCGGCGTCCCGTACATTTTTTGGTCCTTCGAGCCGGATCTACAGCGCCGAGGAAGAATTGAAGAAAAATTATAGAAGATTGAAGAAAAATTATAGAAGATTGAAGAAAGAAGATCGTCGTGGTCAATTATAGAAGATTGAAGAAAGAAAAATGCCACGAACAAGATCTCAAGCTGACAAAATGGACCAGGCCGAAGAGGAGCGCATCGAGAGAAGCATCGAAGAGCCAGAGCGAACCGCCGCAGGAGAGAATCCTGTCCAACCCCCGTCAAGAGTGCCATCGGAAGGGAGCGACACCGTGACGCGGCCACCGTACCCGCTGCGCCACGACCAACCGCCGAAGTCGCCATCAGCTGCAATGACATCACACCGAACAGAATCGAAGATAGCTGCACGAAGAGCAGCAAAGAAGAAGCGCCTGGCGGCGTTATATGAAGAATTAGAGAAGACTATAAGGGCGAAGATACGAATGGAAGAGCAAGATAGCGAAGATGAGGACCAAGAGGACCCGCAAATAGAAGATAGAAGAGAAACCGATAGCACACATGGCACCGAGAATGAAGAACGCGTCATCACCTGGCTGGACACAGCGACAAAGGACACCACCCCCGACGGCGGCACCACCGAACCGTATAGAAGACCGACCGTCGAGGACACCGTACAGATTGGTGGGTCCGTCGCACCACTTGCCGAAGATCCAGTCCCAGGGGCGCTGAAGCCATGCATTAAGAAGAGTCCGCCGTCCCGTATTGATGAAGCTCAAGAACAAGTCGCCCCTACGTTGCCGCCACCGCCACCGCCGGTCCAGCAAGACAGAATGAACGTCTCCGAGCTGGCCGTCGCAATCAACGCCGCCGTCCGTGCCGCCGTACCGCCTGCACCGGGTCCACGCTACGTCGGAGAGCTGCCACCCTTCAGCGGCGCGCACACAGAATGGCTCACCTTCAGGGCGGCGTACCTAGAATCCGCAACCTACCTATCGTCGGCGGAAAACTCATCGAGATTAAGAAGAGCCCTCAAGGGGAAGGCAAGAGAAGCCGTGGGCAGCATGCTAATAAGCAACACTACGCCGGGCGACATTATGAAGCAATTGGAGCACAGATTCGGCCGCCCGGACAACATCGCCGCAACCGAAATAGAAAAGCTGCGCCATTTACCCCGACTCACCGATTCGCCGAGGGACATCGTGATTTTTGCAAACAAAATCAAGAATAGCGTCGTCGCACTACAAGTACTGGGGCAAAACGAGTACCTACGTGCGCCGGACATCATGAAGACAATTATAGAAAAGCTGCCGTCGACTATCCGCTTCAGATGGAACGATTACGTCAACAATCACCGAATGCAAGAAAAAATGAAGACGGATCCGGAACTATTGATTTTCGCCGAGTTCATCGAAGTCGAGGCAGAGAATAACGCAAGATACGCCCCACCGGAGTACATTGGAAATGAAGAAAACTCCACAACAAGAAAATTTCGAACACATAACATCGAGGCGACACATAATAGAAAAGCGCCTGAAGATCGATTCCCATGTCCGGTATGCAAGAAATCCGGACATTCGACGGCCACCTGCTTTACGTTCAAGACCGCCGATCAAGATAGAAAATGGGAAATAGCGAAGAAAAGCAACCTTTGTTTCCGTTGCTTACAATACAGAAGCAAGATGCACAGATGCAAGACGCGAGCGTGCGAGAGGGACGGCTGCGAGCGCTCACACCACCCACTTCTTCACTACAAACCGAAGTCGCAACGTGAAGAAGAACCAGCCACGAGCAACACAGAAACCGAGAGGGTGGCCAGCACACACAGCAGCCGCAAGCGAGACGCGTACTTGAAGATAATTCCGGTTCGCATTACGGGACCGAGCGGACATTTTGATACGTACGCGCTACTGGACGACGGCTCTACAGTCACACTTATAGAAGAGAGGGCCGCCGAGAAGATAGGAGCCGAGGGACCTACCGAGCGACTGAAGATAGAAACGATCGACGCCAAGCTGCCAGAGACACAGTCGCGCCGGGTCACCTTCAAGATCGAGGGACAGAACAGAGGCTTCAAGGTGCAAGCACGCACCATCGACCAAATGAAGATTTCACCGCAAACCATAGAAGAAAGACACTTATGGGGCTGCAAGCACCTGCGGGGAATCGAGAAGCACGTCACCTATGAAGACGCCCGGCCGACCATCCTCATCGGGCAAGACAACTGGCACCTACTCTTGGCCAGCGAAGTCCGCCGGGGGAACAGAAGACAGCTAGTGGCATCGAAGACGGCTCTGGGATGGGTACTCCACGGCACAGACTCGCGCACCATCGGTCACCGGGTTCATTTCGTGAACCACCTCACCGAAGAAACAGAAGATTCGAAAATGGATGAACTACTTCGTCATCACTTCGCATTGGAATCGATCGACATCGAAAAGAAGAAACCGCATTCCGATCCAGAGGAGAAAGCCATCAAGATGCTAGAAGAACACACCCACAGAAAAGAAGATGGAAAATTTGAAACCGCGCTACTCTGGAAGAAAGAGGACATCAAGATGCCCAACAATTATGAAAATGCGTACAGACGGCTGCTCACCACAGAGAAGAAAATCGACCGCGATCCACGCCTAAGGGGAAAATACATAGAACAAATGGACGCGCTCATCGAAAAGGGATACGCCGAGCGAGCACCGCCGACATCAACAGAAGACAGAACTTGGTACCTGCCGCATTTTCCAGTCATCAACCCGTTGAAGCCAAACAAGTTACGCATCGTACACGACGCAGCTGCGAAGA